TGACCTGCATGCCATCCCCAAAATGCCTTGCCACCCTCTACTGATGACAAGAACTTCCTTGTCCAGGATCCCCTCACCTGACCACATCAGTGATTCACTCAGACCTGATTTCAGGTTCTCGTTCCAGACCAGGTGACAAGTGGAATATATGCCACATTTTCTGACAGCTGGGATGATGTTCCTTCACAGAAATGGCACGTCACCTAGACCCAGCTGGTCACTACCTTTATGTAAAACTGCTCCCCATTCAGTTCCGCTTGCCCTGTGTCCGGCTTTGCTCCCTTCAATGAGAGACTCTCAGGCTGGCCATAGTTCACCCTCAAGGGCACTCTCTCTTTACACTCATTCTCCTTTGCCGGGCCCTGTTGGTCTCTAAGTTTTCCTCAATAGTTCCTTGGTTTGAACAGGCCACAGTCACCTCAGTTCCCCCCACTCACTGACAGTCCCTCCTCTGGTGAGCTTCCAACTGGTCCTTAAGGGGGCTTCAAGGGCACCTCACTCCTCAGCTCTCTAGGCTAAGAGTCACTGCTGGGGTCCCTCCCCAAAGCTCCACGTTTGTAGATTTACACGCCACCCTCTTCTCTGTGGCCCCTGGAAGCCAAGTGACTGCACTCTGTTGGAACCCAAATTTGTCTTCTCCCCCTTTCTTCAAAACTGCCTCATGTCTGGGTTGCCACTGAGAAAATTTTCCACTCACACCCCGAAAATACAGTGTGCTGCTGTCTCCCCAAGGAGTCCACTCAACAGACCCCCTGACTGGATCCTCTGTTTTGAAATGGCAGTTAGTAGGATTTCAGGCCTTCTCTGCACACTCAAGGAACGAAGTTTTGCAATCTTTGTTTGATTGATGGGTATTTTTATTTCACTAAATTAAATTTGGCTGACACCGGACTCATTGATAATTTCTCAATATAATTTATTGAAACACAGTATGTAAATACTAGTACATAATGACATCTTATTATAATTTATTGAACCACAATAGCACAATTATTCTGGGTCCCAACGTGGTCCCAGCATTATTCATGGTCCCAACTTTGGGAAAACTTGGCTACCCTGGCTACGTACACAACACCCACCACTACTATTATGTCACAGTAAATACCTCCTGACCTCTTGAAAACCAGTCCTAAAGAACGGCATTGCAGTTAGGCACAGCGGAGCACCCCTGTGACCCCAGCAACTTGGAGGCTGAAGCAGAAGGATTGAAATTCAAGGCCAACCACAGCAACAATACAGATGTCCTAAGCAACTCAGCAAAATCCTGTGTCAGAATTAAAAACAGAAAACAGAAAGGGGGCTGAGGGTGTAACTCAGTGGTAACGCACCTCTGGGTTCTGTCCCAATACCAAAAGATGGCATTGTTAGCCCCCGTGGTGGCACACACCTATAATCTCAGCTCCCTGGGGACTGGGACTGGAGGACGGCAAGTTAAATGCCAGCCTCGGCAACGCAGCAAGGCCGTCTCAAAATAAAAAATAAAGAGAGGGTTGGGGATGTTGCTCAGTGGTACTGCATCCGGGTTCAATCCCTAATGCTATGGGAAAAAAAAATTAAAGGCATTGTTTAGATTAGGGACTATTTGGAGACTTCCTTGCCCTGCTTACTCCTTCTTCTGGCTGGCTTCACTGCCTGTTAGAAGGACCTGGGGGCACCTGCAGGGGCTGCGCCTTCTTTCCCTGAGAAGGCCCCCCGGCCGCCTTAGGAAAGAGCTCACACCTTGGGCTCTTACCCACAGTGCTGGACAGCATCTGCGTTTTCCCACCTTGTTTGGGCTGGTGTGGGACAGAAGAGCTGACTGGTAGCCTAACCTGGGGATTTGAAGGTAAAGGAATTTGTTTGGGTTGAGCCCTGATGTTGACTCTTGGCATTCCAAGGGAAGAACACCAAGCCGGTTGCTGCTCCCCAGCACCCTGAAATTCAGAACTGAGTCATCTAGATTAGGATCAGGAAACTGGCATCTCTCAGGGAGGCCCCAAGGAACAGGGACGCTCTTGGGATGGCTGAGATGCTCTCATGACATTCTTTCTGATGCTGAAATTCTAAGGCTGGTGCCTGCTGGAGCAAGAAATTAGATGTAGGAAGCGTGTGATTAAAACAGATCTATCACAGGGTGAATGGAGGCTGATTAAGGGAGGGGAGTCCACACCTCTGTTCTTCCCGAACACACACCACACAGTTTGAAGCACGCGTATCATCAGTCTGGACTCCACCACCACTTTGCATAGTGTGGAAATTTCTCCAGAGGGAACTGGCTGGGGGGTCTTGTGGTTTTAGAAACTTTTTCCTAAGGGATCTTTTTAATTCAACTGAATGCATCCAGGAGAAATGGCAATCTCCAAGCCAGTGCTCAGGGTGTATTACGCTTCCCAAGGCACAGTGGGAACGCTTGGCTTGAAATGGTCCATAGTGCTTTCTTCTTTCTCACCATCCCCAGGTGAAGTCCAATGTATTAAGTATGCTGTTAGCCTGTCCCAAAGACAAAGTAGCATAGATTCAATAACAGGAAGAGTGGATTAAAAGGAGCCCAGAATAGTAAGATGTTAATTACCAAAATGTTATTACGTCTCGTAAGTGAAAAAAAAAATGAAGAATGGAATAAATGTGCTTGATTTCAAGATTCAATAAGCCATGAGTCAAAGAAAAAAATCATCATCAAATCTATATGCTGGAAGACCAAGGATCAATAAAATACACAGAATTCAAGTATAGAGTGTAATGAATCATGACACATATTTATGCTTTATCTATCGTTAAATGAACACCTAAATTTCAAATGTCCTCTTAACAGGAAATATCTTATTATTTCTACCTACACATCATATCAATATTTACCATGTCAATCCCTCTGCACACATCTACAAAGCATATTTGGAGTTTAAATACACAAGGTCCTAAAGTCCACAGGAATTTGAATAGGAAACCCAGGGGCCACCTCACTCAACAATCTGCTGCTGTCCTTAGAAGATTGAAAAGCATAAACAAGGTCCCATTGTGGGTCCTTGGATTCTGGACTCAGGTCAGATCAAGTTTCTGCACCCTGGGTATCCCAGGACACTTTTTCTGAACTCATGTGTCAAATTCCCTCTTTGCACTGAAAATGTAGAATTAACCACATCCCCCAGCTTTCTAGTAGAAGAGCCCTGGGGAAAATGTAGGAAACTGTATTATATCTCCATGGGTCTGATGGGGACGACTTCCCATGCCCCTCTGCCATCTGGGCAGGAACAAAGATGAAGAAGTGAATTCACCCTGTCCCTGACACAGTGGGGCACGGCTGGCCCCAGAGCATAAGGCTTAATGCTAATCCCCTCTCATGGGCTTTTGGTTCCTTCCCACTTCATCTTGTAACTTCCTGCCACACAAGGGCCTCCCTGACTCAGGAAGGATCAAAGTCACTTGAGGAAGCCATTCAAAAGAACAACCAAAAAACAGTCTTAGGTGTTCTGGGTGGGAGAATGACTGCCATTCAGTCCCCAGCACCCGGTGTCACTCTGTCACAAGCACCAGGCTGAGGAAGCCAGAGCTGACAACATCTAACTGCAGAGTGACTTCTCTACAAGATGGTAGCTGATCCCACATGGTGAACCTTAATCCCTTCCCATTTCACCTGGGGCCTTCCTGCTGTGGTGGAAGCCAGGAGGAGCACACTCCTGCCATTTTGCCTTCAGTGAGACTGAGAAGCAGCCCATTCTTTCCCTCAGGTGGAACCTTCTCCTGTTCTTCTGTAAGCCGCTCTTTGAGTAGCCAGCAGTTTGAGGGGACATTCACTAATTAAGGGTCAGGGGTAACTGGCTGGGACGTTTAGGCAGATGGAGACACAGAGGCAGTAGCCAGAGCCCCTCTTTCTTCCTCTGATACTTGACTCTGCTCTTAGCCCTAAGCCACTCTCAAATCGCCCTGTCCTCAGGATGGTAAGGTTGCGTTTTCCTTTAAAGAGGGGCTTTCACTGAACTCTGAGATGGAGGTTCCTTCAGGACTTAACTCTGGACACTCTTTGATCTGTTAACACTACAGACTCTGCCAAGGAATCCTGAACTACTAGGTAGGAAGAGATGGTGCCCAGGACTCCAAGGACCAGGTCTCTCTTGCCGAAAGGACCCCCTCAGAACACACAAAGATCATGGGACCAAAAAATGGGGGTCAGTGACCAAGGAGAAAGTTCTCCTCCTTGGATGTGTGAGCTGTGACGTTAGCTCTCATGTGTCGACAGTCTTGGAGAAGGGGAAGAGAGGGGCAATGCCACTTTGCAGATGGTGGTTCAGGAGAAGGTCGCAGGCTGGTGCAGGAGGACTGAGTCAGGCCCAGAGCTCAAGATGGCTCTGGGAGGACCCCCCACATAGAATCCTGGTAGGAGAATCCCTCCACGTCACCTCCCAGGTGGAAAGCCGGCAGCCCACTGAGGGTGTCTGCCTCCTGACACTGTCCCTTCACTCTGGGCACTCTCACGTCCCCCTGCACCATGAGCTCTCCTGGGCCTGAACTGGGCCTCAGTTACGTTGACCTCCCAACTCTCAGGACCTGGTCACGCAGCAGCTTGCTCAGGGTCTTTGGGTAAATGATCTTAGCTTCCCTGACCCCACACACCAGGGCTGGAGACATTGTGTGTGATGTTTACTCTGCATAAAACGTGAGGGGAAGCCTCGGGTATGGACTATGAGTGCATTAAGATCCATCCCTAAAATCCCTAGAAAAAGCCACAGCTACAGAAATCCAGCCCAGAAATTTCTTTTGTCTTGTGTCCTCATATCATCCCACCTCCAGGAAGCCCTCAGGTACACGAGAGGAACATGGATCTGACCTCACGTCCTGCACCCTACCCATCACACACACACACAAAGATCCTTCCAGAAGGAATAGGAATACTGTTATCCACCAAAGAGCTGCAAAACCGGACTTTTCAGTGCAAACAGGGAGTTGGGCAAGATTTTCAGGAACTGGGTGCAGCATCAGGACGCCAGGAGACGGTGGGGAAACCCCTTTGGTTTCCTCCTTCCCAGGCTGAGCCCAGGATAAAAGAACCTGCTCCAGGCTGCTCCACTGCCTCGTGGATCCCTGAGGACAGAGCAGCCGGGAGAGCCGCAGGTGAGTGGGAGCCGGCGCTGGGGGGAGAAAGCCTCACGGGACCATCAACAGGGTCCCGACGGGCGTGATGAGGAGGCAGGGTAGAGCCTGGGGTTGGGAGGGATGGAGAAGGGACAGAAAGATCGTCAGAGTCAGCAAGATGAACAGAGGCACAGGACAGAGAAGGAAATAAGGACCAAGGGGGTCAGGCAGCCAGCAGGGAGAGAGAGGAGGAGACACGTCCAAGGTCAGCTGTAGTCCACAGGCCTTGGCAAAATTAAATTAAGTCAGCCCCAGGCCACTTGCCACCAGTGTGTATGACACCAAGGTTTCACTGGGCCACAGCCCTCATGTGGGTTTGTGTACTTTCTGTAACTGCTTTTCTCCACAATGACAGACGGGAGGAATTCTTACAGACATTGGCCTGCCACGCCTATGTATCCCTTCTCTGGCCCTTGACAATAAATGTTGGCTGGCCACTGTTCTAAACCTAAAGTGACCTTTGAGCTGGAGGAGGTTAAGGACGCAGTGGAAGAGGACAAAATGCCGGGCCACTCAGTGGACGTTGGTGAAGCTGAGGCGTGAACCCAGCTTGTCCATCACGTTGAGTGTTTCTCCTTCAGTGACTGAGCTTCGGGACCCAAGATAAAGCCTAATGAAACCCAGAGCTTAGGATGTGGGGTGCCCAACTGGGGCTCCCTACTGACGCAGGTGTGCTCCTGGATTCTAGTGCTCACTGGGGGCCACCCCACAGGAGGCTGGTGGACCCTGAAGGAGCAGGATCAAGTGGCAAAGTGGTGGGGAGACACGGAAGGCCTGGGGGAGACACCAGAAGGCCTCTGAGTCAGGAGAAGGGACGACTTAGTGGAGAATAGGGGCCACGGCCACCCGAAAAGGGAAAAATATGACCCAGCCTCCCTCCAAGTTGGCTCTGCCTCCACAGATGGTTAAATGTCACCATGTCCTGCTGTCCCCAGCCTTCTTCTCCTGAAGCCAACATCTCCAAAGACATTCTCCCTTTTATCTCAAGGCCCACCTTCCAGAACTTTCCACATTTCTTATTTCCCTGGTTCCTTAGAGTGTGAGAAATGTTCATTTAAAGAATAGCACACACTCCAGGCCCAATCTCCTGGGAAGGGGAGGCTGAGGAGACACTGGCCACCTGTGGGCAGAGCCACCAAACTCCTGGTGGTTGGTGGCTGTGGTCCGGAGAGGTTCCTGAGGGGGACAGTCTTAGGAATAAGTGCAACGTCTCTCCATTGATATTTTAAGGGGTGAGGGGAGAGGATGCTTTTCCCTTGTGTTAGGCTTGGGGATCACTTCCTTCCCTAGTGCAGTCTCAATCTAAAGTGCTTCTTCTTTCTTTCAGTTTACCTTCAACTTTGGAAAAATGTCCTATCAACAGCAGCAACAATGCAAAGTCCCCTGCCAGCCTCCTCCCCAGGTCCCAGAGCCCTGTCCTCCCAAGGTCCCAGAGCCCTGTCCTCCCAAAGTCCCTGAGCCTTGTCCTCCACCCTGCAGCCAGCAGAAGTGCCCCCCTGTCCAGTGCCCTCCATGCCAGCAGGACTATCCACCAAAGTGGAAGTAGCCTCAGGGGCCAGCCCTCTCTCACCTGGACATGCAGACACTGCCCACTGCCCACCTCCTCCAGCTTATTTCCAGCAACTACAAGGATCACCCTAGAAGAAGCTTCCAGTTCAGAACCAAGAAGAAAGTCAACTGGCTTTTCCTCCCCAAATCTATGCCTCCTTCCACCTCCTCTTCCAGGAGGCTGCAGGGTTTAGACAGGAGGGTCACCTTCTCAGACCTTTGACCCGTGGTTCAAATATGCCATTATGTTCAGCTGCGACCTCCTCCACCACCCAGCCTCCTACTAATCATGTGGATCACTGTGAGAACTCAGAACTTGCTCCTCTCTCTACCTCCTCGGGATGCAACAACTTCATCAAGGTTTCCTGGAGCAAGCACGACTTAAAAAATGAACACAAGAAACTGTTTAAATCAATGGGAAAAACGCCTAGAGCCTTACACCCCAGCTCACACCCTGTGGTGAAGTCAATGACGTCTTCTGGTTCTGTTTCCTACTAATAATCTCCAAAACCCTGACGCAGCTCACCCCTTTCTTTGAACTCTGAACCTGGAATATTCTGAGACCTATAAAGTTTCTTCTTCTCTGATTCCCAAATTAAAAAAATAAAATCCACGATTGACCTTGTGCCTGTTCTCTTGCTGGGGATGGTGGACGTCACAGAGGGACAAAGGGCCAGTGGAGGGCAGCAGAGCCTGAGTGGGAAACCCTTGGTAAGACCTGGGAACTCAGGGGCCATATGAGAGTGACTGGGCGCCCGGGTCAAGCTAAGCGTCTCCTTCTCCTCTGGCCGTCCATCTCAGTCCCTCATGTTTCCTGCCCCCAGGCCCCTCTCCATGAACCCTCATAGGGACTCCCCATGCAGGGACGTGGGGACTCAGGGCTGCAGACTGGGCTGAGCGTGAGGCAGGCCCTCGGGTCCATGCAGACTGTGGGACTCAGCCCTGGGACCTGGGACCTGGCTCCGCCTGGGGTCTGGCCTGTAGGGAATGGACTCCAACAGGGGTTATTTTTGCAGCAGTTTTCACACTATGTGCACCCTTAAGATTATTGAGTATCTCAAGGAGGTTTTATTCTTGTGGGTAATATCTATGGATATTTCTTGTATTAAAAATGAAATCCAGAAAAATTTAAACACACTGTACACATGCAGATATTGCACTAACTGTCAGAGTGATGATGTCACTCATGTCACATACCCTCTGGAAAATTATAGTGAGGGCTCCTTTTTTAAAAAGTGAATTAAAAAGACAAAGAAGATCTTATTATAGTTTTTAAAGTTTTGACCTCACTGATCCTGCTGAATGCACTTCAGGGACCCAAGGTTCTCACACACCTTGACAACCACTAGTCTAGGAGTCAGGGGACCAGCCCGACCCCCGTGTCTCCCAACATGAGCAGCACAGCAGCACAAGCTTCAGGTGGCTAAGGAAGCTCCCCTTGGGTCTGGGTACCCACTTATTTATGGATGCACGTGAAGTCTGTTTTAACCATCCTGCCAAGATGAGTTCCACACTTTAACACTCACTGGTCAGTGCCCATCTGATCCTGCTAAACTGCGTTCTGCACTTGTCTTCACCACCACTGACACCACTTAGAACATGTCTACCTTGATTAAAGACTGAAGACAAAGAGGACACAACAGTGAACGGCTCTGAGATTCTGGAGAGGATTCTCTCAGGGGTCTGCAGAGGTCTTGGGCCCAGACTTGCTTCATGGACCATTGAACTGATCTGACAGGGGCTTCCCTCCGGGTGCAGTCGGGAGCCTGGGTGCCCTGTGGGTTGTGGAGGTTGGGGAAGGAGGGGAGGCAGAGGACGGCTCCTGGGTTTCACACTGGGCTCCGCCTTGGGCTTCTCAGTGCAGTCGATGGACCTTCCCTGGGAGTGGAGACTTGAACCCAATCATATTCCATTTCCCGTGTGTTTCTAGCTCCACCAGCTGGGAGCTGGTGGCATGGAATGACCTCTGACCCTCTGCACCAGGGGAGTGCCTTGTGAGGCACACCCTGACCAGCTTTCCCTTCCTTTACTTTGAGAGATTATTAAGCTTCTTCTGTTCCACTGGCCAGTCCAGGACGTCTTTCTGGTGAAGGGAACCGAGGATGCAGCCTCCATCCCTGAAGAGGGCACAGGAAATCCCTAGAGCTCAATCTCTCCCCTAAGATTATAAATGGATAAGTAAACTTCATGCTCTGAGGGCTGCAGAGACTGGGCGGGCTTCACCTGCTTGAGGGACCCGGCAGGTGCTCCCTGCTACGTCTCCCTGGCACTCTCCCTGGGGCCAGGCCAATGCGTGGGTCTGGAGAACAACGGTGAGCCATCTGGAGGCCACTGTCCCAGCTGTGGTCCCTGTCATGGAGGAAACTGACCCAGAGCTCGGTGTTAGGATCACAGGTTGGAGAGTCACCTGGCCTGGTACAGAGGGTAGGAAAGGGGCTGGGGTGAGTCTCAGCATTGAACTGGGATGGTGGACATCAGAAAGGAGGGTTGGAGGAACCTAAAATATAATGGGCTCCAATGCATCACCAAGTTGGAATCTCCTCAGTGAGACTTGGACTGTCACAAGCTGCTGTCTGGGGACTGTGTGAGCCGGGCACAAGGTCAGCTAGGAAGGCCTGCGCTGTGGGTCACTGTGAAGAGCTGGCCATTTCTATAGGGTATTGAGTCATTCTCCACCTTCTTCTCAGTGGCCAAATTCTGCTCTTGAACTACACCTAACAGTCATGCTCCCACAAGGGGGTGTCCCCCACCAGGTGGACAGACAGGCTGCCGCTGGACCTGCCTCCCACATGTCCCACCACCTCTCCTCCCCATGGACTCCTGCTGCCCAGGGAGCTCATCAGGACAAGACTGACGTCCTGAAGTTACCAAAACCTGCTCTGACAACGGTTTATGTCTCAAGAACAAAGTTGGGGCCCGGGGATCCCAGACGGCAGGCTGGAGGGAGCTGCCTTCTGTGGGGCTCTGGGACCTGGGGTTGAAGCAGGGGAAGCTGTTTCCCTCTGGTGATTAGAGGACCCCACAGCTGTGTCCCCAGGGCTCCAGGCCTCGGTCAGCACAGGACTCCCAGCCACTCACCCACCAGGACCTTCGGGTGCCCGAGCAGGACACAGGCATCAGTACCCGCACAACACTCCTGGCCACCCAGCCACACAGGACTCCCAGCTGCCACTGCCACACAGGACACTGGCCACTGCACATGTGCAGGAACTCCTTGGCCACTCCCAGGTGGACCCCATTCACCACCTGAGGCTCCCTGGTCGCCTCCCACTTGGAGCACCACAGCCACTGCCACAGTCCCCTACACGGTAGCCTGCACCTGGGGACACCTCACAGGGTCTGGAGACAGGGGCCACCAAAACCTGGCTCCCCACAGAGCTGCATCTCTATACCCGCTGCCCACCGCCACCGCCGGGCCCCACCCAGCCCACACCCATGGCTGAAAGCAGCCGCCTCCATCTTGGGATGCCCTCCTCGCCATCTTAGTTGGGGTGACCCCCATCTTGGGACAGTGGCTGGGGCTAGGAAGCAATATCAAGGTTCCTTTAGTCCCCAACTCCCCCCTCCCCGGTGGCCGCTAACCCAGCACAGTGCCTGTGGGTACCAGGCCTTCTGCAGCTCACACAGCCTGGCCCTGAACTGCCTCTATAGACAGCTCCCGCGACAGGGGCGCAGCCCCCAGAGCTCAGCCCACAAGACCTGTAGAGAGGGGTGCCTGACTGGGAAGTAGAGAGGGAGGGAGGGAGATAGAGGTTAGAGGCCAAGTAAGAGACCAGGCATTGCTGGGTCTACAGATGAAATAGGGATTTAAGACCAGGCCCCACATCACATGAGTGGGCCCCAAAGGAGGTCCTTGGGGTGCGGTCTCCCACTGGGTCCAGCAAGTGCTATACGCCCCCTTCCAGGAGCTCTGCCTCCAAGACCAGCCCTCACACCCAATAACCTTCACCATCCTGAGGCTGGAGATACCAGCAAACCACAGACAGCCCCACCTATTGTGGAGAAGGGAGGCAGGAAAGATACTGATCTCCAACCAAAACAATCCTTGAATCTCTCTTTCTCTCTCTCTCTCTCTCTCTCTCTCTCTCTCTCTCTCTCTCTTCTCCCACCTTCACATCCCCAACATTTGTGGAACCAAATGTTTTTCATAAATTAGGCTACTGAGGACTGGGGTGTCTGAATAGTATATTACACTTGTGTTTATCTCCTGTTTTTACATTTTTTTATTTTTCTTTATTAATAAATATTTTTATTTTTTGTTTGCTTTTGTACTCTACTATCTTTCCACTTACTGGTCTTCACAAAATCACTTTCTCCCTCTTCTCCTGCTACTAACCAACTTCTTTAGATTCCTCTTTCATGCTTTCCAAGATCTAATACTCTATATCCTCACCTCCTACCCCCTCAACATCTCCTCCTACAACTCACCCCACTTCTTTGACCACCATCAAAAACTGTTGACCCTTTCACAAACCTACAGTTTATATTGTAGATAATTGAACTCGCCATTTCTGCATATTGTGACAAAACTGTAAACATTTTAATAAAACTATTTGGTTTAAGGTTGTGTATTGTTTGTATTGGGATCTGTTAATATTGCTCTCCCCTTAAAGGAGAGGATTTAGGAAACTGCAGGGCACTATAAGCCTATAGGTTAGAAACTGTAACGCCTCAGGTCCACAGAGCTGGAAGGGAGGACACATGAACAACATGAACACACAAGGGAAGAAAGGCCCCCAACAAACCAGGACACTACATCATCACAACCCATGGCAGCCCCGCAGGAGAAGTGACAGAGAAGGAGTCAGGATGTGCATAATCAAAACATTCTGTGAACTAAAGGATGATGTAAGAGAGCAAATACAGGCAGCAAAAGATCATTTCAATAAAGAGCTACATAAGCAAATAAAGGAAGCAAAAGATGACTTCAATAAGGAGATAGAGGTTCTGAAAAGAAAACCAGAAATCCTTAAAATGAAAGAAATAATAAACCAAATTAAAAACTCAATAGAAAGCCCCACCAACAGATTAGATCACTTGGAAGACAGGACCTCAGACAATGAAGACAAAATACATAATCCTGAAAAGAATGTTGACTACACAGTGAAGATGGTAAGATACCATGAGCAGAACATTCAAGAATTATGGGATAGCATAAAAAGGCCAAATTTAAGAATTATTGGGATAGAGGAAGGCATAGAGTTACAAACCAAAGGAATACACACTCTATTCAATGAAATAATATCAGAAAATTTTCCAAACATGAAGAATGGATTGGAAAATCAAATACAAGAGGCTTACAGGACACCAAATGTACAAAATCACAACAGATTCACACCAAGGCACCATATAATGAAAATGCCTAACATACAGAATAAGGAGAAAATTTTAAAGGCAACAAGAGAAAGGAACCAGATTACATATAGGGGGAAACTGATTAGAATATGTGCAGATTGTTCAACCCAGACCCTGAAAGCTAGAAGATCCTGGAACAGCATATACCAAGCTCTGAAAGAAAATGGGTGCCAACCAAGAATCTTATATCCAGCAAAATTAAGCTGTAGATTTGATGACAAAATAAAAGCCTTCTATGATAAGCAAAAGTTAA